CCAAGAGAGGCCGCTCGGGGCGAGGACCCGGTCCCCCGGGGGCCCTGGCCGCTCCTCCTCCTCCTCCTCCTCCTCCTCCTCCTCCTCCTCCTCCTCCTCCTCCTCCTCGCATCGAACGGGGACGGAGGCAGGCCAGTCGTGGGAGCAAGAGTGCGTGCGCCCGCGCTGCTCCCCGTCCCAGGGTGCCACGGCCGCGGCGCGCCGCACGGTCAGCGCACTGTCGGTGTTCGCGCCTCGGGCCCCGAGGAATGGCAGCGCTGAGGTCTTGCGCGGCACGGGCGGAGAAAAAGCACGCGCGCAATGGCGCGCATGCCCATGCGCGAGCCTGGATTTCCTAACGCTCGTGCGCGTGTGAATGTCCGTCCTCCGTGATCGAAACTTCCGACCTCTACTGGGATGCGCACCTCAGGGGAATGTCGTTGTGCCATTTAGCTGACCAGGTCCAGGCCCTCTTGATTGCGGGCGCGAGCGACGCCTCGGCGCGGGAAAAAGACACGCGCAAAGATTATGCGCCCGTGTCCGATCGCCTGTTCTGGAGTAGATTCCCCTCCGTCTCTCGTCCTCCGCGGCGTTCCTCCTTCATTGTTCTCTCCTCCGTGCTGGCGACCTCATGCGCTTGATTGCCGATTGCCGATTGCGTTAACGAGCATGTGTTCCCCGCGTTCGCAAATATATGTGCGACCCACTGAGGCGCTACCATTTACACCTCTTGGGGGGAACGGCCAAGATAAGAATCAGCGGGACACTTGCATTATCAATCGAAGCCGCCTAGGGTATATCGATGGGATCCGAAACGATTTTCTCCCTCCACCTCCTGATTATCATCTGACTCTTCTTGCCCAATGTGAGATCACCGCTAGGATACCTGCTACTGCTACTGCTACTTCGACTACTACTACTACTACTACTACTACTACTACTACGACGACTACTACTAATACTACTACTACTACTACTACTACTACTACTACTACTACTACTACTACTACTACTACGACTACTACGACTACTTCTACTGCTACTACTATTACTACTACCTCATACTACTAACTCCAACGACAAATACTACTACTACTACTACTACTACTACTCCTACTACTACTACTACTACTACTACTACTACTACTACTACTACTACTACTACTACTTACTACTACTACTACTACTACTACTACTGCTACTACTACTACTACTACTACTACTACTACTACTACTACTACTACTACGACGACGACGACTACTGATACTACAAATGCGACTACTACTACTACTACTACTACTACTACTACTACTACCACTACTACGACTGCAACGACGACGACGACGACGACTACTACTACTAGTACGACTTCTTCTTCTACTACTACTACTACTACTACTACTAGTACTAGTACTACTACTACTACTTCTACTTCTACTACTACTACTACTACTACTACTACTACTACTACTACTACTGCTACGACAATGACCGCGACGACTCCTACTGCTACTACTATTTTTACGACTACTACTACTATTACTACTCTTACTACGACTACTGCTACTACTACTGCTACTACTACTGCTACTACTACTACTACTACTACTACTACAACTACTACTTCTACCACTGTTACTTGTACTACTACGACTACTACCACTACGACACTACCTCCGTAACTACTACTACTACTACTACTACTACTACTACTACTACTACTACTGAGACTACTGCTACTACTGCGAAAATAATGATTACTACTACTCCTACTCATACAGCTCCTGATCGTCCTACTACGACGACGACTACGACTACTCCTACTTGTACTAAACCCACGACAACACAGACGACGACGACTACTACTACTCCTACGACTACGACTACTACTGCTACTACGACAACTACTACTACTCTTACTACTACTTCTACTTTTACGACTACTACTTATACTAAAAAGCTCCGGATCGACCTACTACGACGGCGACTACGACGTCGACGCCTACTACTAATACTACCACTGCATCTACCAACCCGACTACTACTACGACTTCTTCTACTACTACTTCTACTACTACTACTACTACTACTACTACTACATCTACGACTACTACTACTACTGCTACTACTACTACTACTTCTACTACTACTACTACTACTACGACTGCTACTACTATTTTGAAGGTTACTACTACTAGGAAACAACTGCGACTACTACCAGTACAAATACTACGACTACCATTACGACAGCTACTACTACTTCTACTACTACGAATACTACTACAACTACTGGTACTACTACTACTTCTTCTTCTTTTCTACTACTACTACTACTACTACTACTACTACTACTACTACTACTACACCTAATTCTACTACTACTACTAATACCACTACTCCTACTATTCCTACTACTCCTACTACTACTACTACTACTACTACGACTACGACTACTACTACTACTACTACTACTACTACTACTACTACTACTACGAGTACTAGTACTACAACGACGACTACTACTACTACTACTATTACTACTACTACTACTGCTACTACTACTACTACTACTACTACTGCTACTAGTACGACTGATACTAGTACTACTACTGCTACTGCTGCGAATTCCTACTACTACTACTACTACTACTACTGCTGTTACTACTGCTGCTACTGGTACTGCTAGTAGTACTAATACTACTACGACTACGACTAAAACTAACCTACGACTACGACTGCGACTTCTACGGCTACTTATACCACTACTTCTGCTACTACTGCTACGACTAGCTACAAGCAGGCACACTTGAACTCAGAAGACGGATACTTCGACTACCACGACTACAACGACGAGGATTACCACAACTTCGACTACTACGACTACGACAACGACTACCACCACTCCTACTCCTACTGCTTCTATTTCTACTGCGACTACAACTGCTACTACGACTACTTCTAATACGACGACTACTACTACTACCACGACTATTTCTACGACTACTACGACGAGGACTACGACTACTACTACTACTACTACTACTACTACTACTACTACTACTACTACTACTACTACTACTACTACTACTACTACTACTTACTACTACTACTACTACTACTACTACTACTACTACTACTACTACTACTACTACTACTA